CTGTTTAGAAGATAATTTGTCTCAGTCCTTGCATTTGTTGAAGGTTATCACTGGCCTGTCAGCAAAGTTTCAGCTGTTCCCGATTCTACAAAAACCTTAAAAAGTTTTCCATCAGACAGCATGATAGGTGACACATGCCTCTGGAACCATAAAGCGTTCAAACAACTGGGAGTGGAAGTAGTACACAAGAAATGTATTCTTTATGATCAGTATTTTTTTGTTAATATTTTTTTGTTAATATTTAGTTTGCCTTTTTATTGTTGGTTGCAACCACTTCTACTGAATGAAGAAAACTGTGGCTATCTTCTAAATCATCACATCAAAAGAAGCAGCATAAGCAAAATGTCAGAACAGAAGCTATGCAACCAAGAACGAAGAAAAAAATAAACAGAAAAAAAATACTGGAATGTAGCAGAAGGGTGTAGGGAATGGTGAAAATTATCATATTGTGTTCCGTGTGATTTTCTAAAATCACTAAGTAGGATGAATTACATCTATAGCAATGCATTAGATTCTACTAACACAAATGAATTTAAAGATGAAAGCCCAGGAACAAACATCTTACAAGGAACACCTTTCTTTGAACTCAGTGACTTGATATCTCATCGTTACAGAGGTCATAAAGAAATAGAATATCATATTCTATAGTTTGAACAGAAATCTGTTAAATAAATGGACTCTGTGACTGTCTACAAACTGTTCTTTCAAACTGGTAAGACAGACAGCTCACGCCATTAAAGCAGTGCTATGTATAAACCAATAAATGCATATCTGGCACACCACTTATGTATATCCTCTAATGTATGACATTTGTATGTACATAAATAAATATTCATGCAAGTTCAGATGTTACCAGTGTTATCAAATGGATCAATGTGCAGAAAACTTCTAGCTAGATAATAAACTCTGACAATTAATTTAGAAAACTTGAGAAAAGCTCTCTCTTCTTATGAAAATATTGTGATATTACTAATTTCACAGTAGATAAGTATTGTCTTAACCTAGCTGCCTTTTATACTGTTGAGAGCAAGGCATACAATGATAAATACTGTAAACCAGCAGGCTGTACTTCTACAAACAGAAGGCTAAACAAATGTTTATAAATATATAAATATATATATTACAAAATATAAATAAGACAACTAAAAAAAAAGTCATATTACTTGAGATTTTACGTTTTCTATAGTTACATATACTTAACTAGAAATAAAGGAGTGAAATTATTTTACTACCTTTGAATATTGCTTACTTTGTTTAGTCAAGTTTAAATACTTTTTTCTAGCAGTCAGAGTCAGATCTTGGCCATGCACATGAAGGGCATGACGTCCTCATCAAGCCAGCTAGGGAAGGACTTTCTGGCAATTTTATATTGCATTCCTCTGAGAGAAGGCCACGTGTAAGTTAATCAGCTAGTGTCAGTGTATTTCAGAGTTTGAAGTATTACACAAAGATGATGTAAACCAAACAATTCTCATTCCCATGTTCATTTGTGAGAATAGCATTTGAATAGAAAAGAAGTACTAAATAATATTGTTAAAAGCCTCTTCAGGACAAGTAAGTAGTCTTCCTATTGGATTCCACACAATAGTGATACCACAGTGTGATGAGAAAAGCATGTATTCATTATTCCCGATAAAAATATAATGTAGTAGATATGTCAGGATACACTTCCTATTCCTTATCGGACACAGCCTTTACACATAGATGGAAAAAAAAAAAAAAAAAAGACAATTTTTTTGTCCCCATTGTCTCATTTGTTATATGTTCTCCTTACTAAAACGGAATAAGGTTGTCTTGCCAGCAATTTATGAAGAATTTCAAAAGCAGGTCTGGACAACACCAGGGTCTGAAATCTTTACATAAAGAGCTATGGAAACAGGAGCAGTATCTGCAAATTTGGAGGGTAGACCAACTCCAGCAGAGTAGGAATTTTCCTTCAAGTCCTCAAGAAATCCATCAGAGAACAAATTACACATCTTTCTAGACACATGACAAACAGCAGAAATCTGTGCTTATGTCCAAACTACAAAATAGTTGTCTTGTGGAAACTCAGCATATCTCCCAAATAAAGTGTGTGAGAGTGAAACATTACTGTGACTCTGCACAGTATAGACCCATAAATGCATATATGTCACACTACTTAATGTATACTATATAATGAACAACATCTGTATGCACATAAATAAACATCTGTGCAAATGCAAAGCTTACTAAGTGCTTGGAAATAACAGTCTGTCTTTATCCTCATATGTTAATGGAGGAGTAAGGTGAATGGTATTCATTACAAGAACTCTTTAGCTACTATTAAATATATCTCATAATTCAAGTTGGAACTTAATACAAGTCAATGAAAGTGAAGAAAATCTTACATTAGCTTTTGTTTTCATTATTAAATTACTTCCTTTTAAACTAAGTTCTTTGGAAATGAAACAAAATGAAAAGCATGTCTGAACTGAAAAATCAGTTTTAACTGTAGAGTTCTCGTAAAAATTGTACACATGCATTTCTAAAAATTTGGGGCAACTTCCACACTCAGTAACATTTTTTATCATTTGTAAGAAGAAAATAGAAGATTTTCCCATAAAGTAAGAGAGCCAAATTAAATAAAAACCTTCTGTATAAGTGAATATTCACCTCATGCTCACTCACTTTCTGCAGTGACTAATATAATTTAAAAGCATCACTACCCAAGTGGCAAAAGCCCTTTACAACAGTAAAACAGGTAGGGTCCATAGAAATGTACCTTTCAAAATTCAAATAAAGTCAAAAGTATTAAGCCAACAGATTACTCTAGAAACTGCACTTCCAGTCAAAAAGGTTTATCATCACTCCTCAAGCAAATACGGAAGCAAAAAATTTAATCTTTTATCATTAAGAGATTTTGGCATTTTTCTCCAGTCAGGAGAGCACACTAGCCCTGTGAATAATAAAAATATTAAGAATCTTCCTCTAAAAATCTTAGTTTCCTACAAGTAATTAATATTAACATTTACTCCTACGTCATTTTCCCTTATTCTTTCTATCTATTTCAGACCTTTTGTCCAGGCTGTTTTCAACAAGAGTACCTCTCACATAAAAACAAGTTGCTTTTCATACATTTTACAGAATTTATTCTGCATTAGACTACATCAATTCTAGCTACACTGGGAAGTCCTTCTAAGGCAAGTAGCAAAGTACAAAAGACAAATTCTTTTTTGTTTCATTTTATTTAAAATTAGTAAAAATCACAATAGTTTTCATAAATAATGTAGTGAGTTGTTAAATAGACTAACTATTTTTAAACTAAATGCCACACTATACTTAAAAAAAAAACTACTCTCATACCCCTTCCCTCCCACCCCCCTCCCCCCCCCAAAAAAAAGAGCTACAAAATAGGGACTGTTCTGTTTATTGTAATATAACTATCAAATCTATATGTTTTTCTCATAAGACCAGGACTAACAAAGGATATTCTAGGTTCTGACTGTCCTTTTGCAAATTAATACCAGACCGAAGACAAAACAAAAATAATTAAATTTTAGTCTACTGGAGTTAGCTATTCTATTACATGAAGAAAAGGTATACCAGACTAAAAAATCTGTATTTCCTAAGCAAAGAATTTACTTTTAAAATAGGTAGTAAACTACTACTCCAGAAACTGCCAGCACATGGGCCCATTTCCTAATTAATTATTTGCTTGCTACAATGTTAAAATGTCCTCAGCTTCAACTTAGACACAATTATTCCAATTGATTATTATCTACCTGGAAAGATACCAAAGAATCTCAACTGTCAGTACTCTACAAATATGTACATTTTGCTCATATTTCTTTCATTTATTTTAACTTTCATGTTACTATAGTTTTAATAATAGTCTCATTATGTATAGAATTGGAAAAAAATTGCATCTCTTCCATTGCTATAATTTAGTATACCTGGAGTGCAGGTGGAGTGATAAGAAACTCTTCAACGTGCCTTTACTGAGAACTGACTTATCCAATGTTTCTTATGTTGATTTTATCTGTGTAAGTTACTATTTAATTCAACTGCTCCTTTGTTTTATAAACATGCATAAAAAATTACAAGTCTTCAAAAGTCAGAGTTGTAATGAAGTTATTGATTGGTGTACAGAATCACAAATATCTACTGGAAAAATATGCCTGAATCAACTGAACAACAGTCAGTCTGTAGTAAACCTCACTTTTTTTGCATTTGTACATAATTTCTCAAGAAGCAACAGGACAGCTGAGAGAAACAACACATGTAGACAAGGTAGCTGTAATGAGTTACCAAAAAAAAAAATAAATAAATAAAATAAAATAAAATAAAAAAGAAGGCACTGCTTTCCCATTAATAGTCAAACTAATTGGCCAAAATCCAACAGTTCCCTCCCTTCCCTAAGTACAAGTGAACATAGTTGCCTTTTCCAACAAAATTGTCACATATTTGGACCAGCCACTAAGTTGTCAGTTCTACATGATTTGTTTGGATACTGTACTCCACAACAGCTGTCAGAAATAATAAATTACAACAGCTGTTGTTGTTGTTACAAAGACCTGGAATTTTAATTGCAATGAATATTAATCTGGGGGGGGGGGGGGGGGG